ATACTCAGATCTTTTGGGACATTTGGGATCTTTTATCTGAGATCTTTTTCTTCCTGCTCCAGAATTCACTTTGGTATTTCTTTTGTACAAATATGAGGCAAAGGAAGGGGTTTGTATGTGTGTGTGTGTATTTTGTGTAAATGCTGGGTATTTTATGCATGGATTGTTAGGTTTCTTTTTTCTTTTTGGGGGGGCTACCAGGGATTGAGCTCAGGGGCACTCAACCACAGAGCCACATCCTCAGCCCTATTTTGTATTTTATTTAAAGACAATGTCTCATTGAGTTGCTTAGCACCTTGCTTTTGTGAGGCTGACTTTGAACTCTTGGTCCTCTTGTCTTGGCCTCCCGAGCCACTGGGATTAGAGGTATACTCTGCCGTGCTCAGCTTCATATCTTGTTTTTTAATTGTTCTATTAATTTCTGTCTTGTATGATTTTCCTTGAGAAGTATGCTATTTATTCTTCTTTCAAGAAAAGGTGCCCTTTACTCTTGTGATACTCAAATTTTCTCTGGGTTGGTTTTTATTTGTTTACCATGTCATATTGTGGTGGCTGGCATCTAAAATGAACATCAATAATCCCTTCCCCTTCAGTGTGGATTGGATTTACTGCTTTATTTTGCCATCAAAAATATATGTCAGAAATTTTGGTGTATATATATATATATATATATATATATATATATATATATATACACACACACATACACACACATACATACATACATACACACACACAAGTACCTCTCACATGTGAGGTAATAAGCACTTTACCACTGAGCTACAGCCTCAGCCCTATATTGGTATATTTTTGATACCTTTACTTTTTAAAAATATTTTTAGTTGTAAATGGACATAATGCCTTTATTTTATTTATTTATTTTTATGTGGTGCTGAGGATTGAACCCAGTGCCTCACACTTGCTAGGCAAGCACTCTACCACTGAGTCATAACACCAGCCCATCTTTACTTACTTTTTTTAAGGGCTCTTATACACATTTTGTAATTTTTCTCAGTGGAAAAGGTACTCTGATTAGTTATTGTACAGGGTGAGCTTAATTGTGTATAGAACTAAAGAGAATTTTTGTTTTTTTGGAATGTTGCTACTGAAGCAGCATTGTAAGCACAACTCCAAGCTAATCCTTTAGGTGGAAAGTTACTGTCCATTTCTCCTAGTGAGGCTTGTTGGCTTAGGGTACTACACTCTTATCTACTTAGGTGTTCTGTTTTGTCTGCTTCTTTAGCTCTTATCAGCTAAGGGTACATTTGACAAAAGTGATTTTTTAAAGCTATTTATGCCATTTATACTTATAACTTTATGAAGTTATATATGACATTTTCTCTATGAAAATTTATTCTTTTGAAAACTATGTAGGTGAAATAATAAAGCAATTTTTCATGGATTTGTTTTGTTTAATTAAACTATAAAACACTAAGGATAAATCTCATAAAAATCTAGATTTTTTTTTTTTATTATTGGTACTGAGGATTGAACTCAGGTGCACTCAACCACTGAGCCACATCCCCAGCTCTATTTTGTATTTTATTTAGAGACAGGGTCTCACTGATTTGCACCTTGCTTTTGCTGAGGCTGGCTTTTAATTTTCCCATCTTAGCCTCTTAAGCTGCTGGGATTATAGGCGTTTGCCACCATGCCCAGTTTGGAGTATTCTTTTCAAAGTGTTTCTCAAGTATTTTCAAGACTTTCTTTCCTTTTTTTTTCCCCTTCTTTTTATGGTATTGAGATAGAACCCAGGGTTTTTCAACCACTTTTCTACAACCCCAGCCCTTTTTATTTTTTATTATGTGACTGGGTCTCACTAAATTCCCTAGCTGCCATTGAATTAGTGATCCTCCTCCCTTAGCCTCCCAAGTAGCTGGGTTTACAAGGCATGCCCACTCATGTACTTCTTTTAGGGTGTTTCTCCATCTTAAATAAACTGAAATTAGAATAATACTGTATTCTTGGAGTGTGATTTATATATTAAGAAAATAGAGACTTCTTGTTTTTGGACCCATATTTAAGAAGATCTCATCCAAACTTCAGGATATTTATGACAGATTAGACATATATTTGCTAAGTTTTTAAAATGTAAGTATCAAGTTTGATGTATATATGTATATATTTGTGTGTGTATATATATGTATATATTTGTGTGTGTGTATATATATGTATATATTTGTAATTTGATATGATTTCTGCTAAATCTAACCTCTTGGAGGAATTAGTTACTGGTTTGAGCTTTATCTTGTAAGCGTGTTTCTACTATACTTTAAATTCTGAAAGGCTGTTATATTCTACCCGTTCACAAAGAAAAAAAAAATTCAGACTTTTTAATTGAATAATTTACATAATTTTCACTTAAGTTTGGTTTTAGGTAATATACTAGTTAAAGACCATAAATTAATATGTTTTTTCCCAAGTACATACAAGCTCTTTCTAGGTTCCAGTACTCAGCCAGAGTTAAACAAAACAGATAATTATTTGGTGACCCTTGCTCATTTGCTAGCAACTTTCATAAATTATACAGATGTTTGTCTCTATACAAAAATCACCAGATATTTGTGTTTTCTTTTGGTTATTTTGAATTCTATAAACCGAGGATGAGAGTCAATTTCTTTCTTTCTTTCTTTTCTTTTTTTTAAGAGAGAGAGAGAGAAAGAGAGAGAAATTTTAATATTTATTTTTAGTTTTCGGTGGACACACAACATCTTTATTTTTATTTTTATGTGGTGCTGAGGATGGATCCCAGTGCCCCGCGCATGCCAGGCAAGCGCGCTACCACTTGAGCCATGTCCCCAGTCCTCAATTTCTTTTTATTAAATATTTATAGTGGGTGTGCTCTGAACAGACCTATCAAGCCAAATGTGATTCATTCTTGTTCAAAGAAATTGTAGTTCAGAAAACCGCTTTAGTACACAGTGACAACAAAATCAAAAGGTATCTTGTGCCTTTTCCTATGAATATAAATTTTCAAATTTAAAAACATGACTTTTGATGGTTTAAGCGAAAGCTTTTATATATGTGATCCATTTTAATTATGTAACCATTGCTTTTACATTTACATGAAGCCTTAAGAACAGCAGGAATAGTTATCTATATTTGTCAGGCCTTTAACAAATTAGGAAAAGACACTTGATATTAAATATTGTCTCATGATTATTATTTTTACTATTGTGCTCCTACTAAGTTTATTCTTGGGATGCCTCCACACCTGGTCTCTTGTAATATCAGAGCTTCTACTTCAGTGGATTTTTTCTAATAGAGTATCTGTTCTCAGAATGTGATTTGTCCATTCCAGCTTACTATAACAAAAGTCCAAATGTTTTTTTCCTTTGTAAGCATACCATAGGCGTTAGGACCTGGTGTGTGGGATCTTCAGCCTGTCACAAATTTCGTTATGCCATCTGCTTCAACCTGAGTGGGGTGTCTTCTGCTGTCAGACTTTGCTGAAGTTTCCATGGCTCAGGATTAAAAAAAAAATCAATCTTGGCATAAAAAGCTTGTTTTTGAAAAAATAATTGATTATGCCTATTGTAGTTTTAAAATTATCATTTGATAGGATTCCCAAAAGCCTCCTCTCAACACATTGATCTCTTTTTCATCCATGATTATAGATAGCTAACACAATAGATGAATTATTGGTAACTTTAGTAACAATGAATTTTCTGTTTTAATTTTTTAAGATAGGTAACACCATCCTATGGATGGATTGTGACTTTGTGAAATATTTTGATAGCTTTAATTGATGGATTCTATGAATCTCTTATCATATTTCCAGAAATTTTATTTTATGAGTACATGCTTTATCCATACTACAAAGAAAATAAGAACAACTTGATGAAAACAATGTAGGTCACAAATTACTTATTTTATTTTTTGAGAGAGAGAGAGAGAGAGAGAGAGAGAATTCTAATATTTATTTTTTAGTTTTTGGTGGACACAACATCTTTATTTGTATGTGGTGCTGTGGATTGAACCCTCGCCGCACGAATGCCAGGCGAGCACGCTACCGCTTGAGCCCCATCCCCAACCCAACAAATTACTTATTAACGATGTGACTGTGTAATTTTGTCATCAGTAAAAGGAAAATAATGACAACTTGAAAAATTGTTTGGGAATTGGATCAACATAGTTTCTTAAAAAATAGATAGTTTATTCTGTAAATGTATATTGAAGAACAATGGGAAATGAGGACCAAGGAGAAAATAACATAATAAGATTCTTCCACTGGAAAATTTTACTTTCCAATCTTCTTCTATTGATTAGGATGGATGCTCTATGAACAACAGGGTATATATATATGTTAGGGGTTGTTAAGGGCTATTAAAATAATTAGGATGAGCTCAGGAAGCAAGATGGTGGATGCTATGTTGAATAGAGTTGATAGAGAGGGATTCTTAAAGGTAAGGTTGAGCACAATTGAATGAAATAAAAGAGAAAGCCTATGGATATTTGGGGAAGGATAAACCTGGCTGGTAGAGTGAGCAGCTTGGCAGTTTGGACAGTGACATCAGTACAGCTGAAGATAGTAATAGACATAGTGCTATGAGATGAGGTAAGGGTGATCCAAGCACATTATTGATGTAATCGTTCGGATACACAGTTACAGATAAAAAGTCACATTCATGACACCCTGTGGAAGTATAACATGAATGTTGACTATTTGCATTGCTGTGTCAGTTAGTTAGCTTTAATTTAGAGCTTACACACACAATTATAATCTTTCAAAATATTACTTTATTATTTAATGTCTTGTACCAGGAGTTAGATATATTGCAAAGTGTGAAGACACAGTCCTTCAAACCTCCATCTCTGCCCATCACTTTTGACACTGATAGGAATTAATGTCTAGTTCCCAGGTTCAAGGTGAAAGTACCTCCAAAACACCCACATTCTGACACCAGTAGCAAGTTTGGGGAGTTCCCAAAGCTATCCTTGATAATTTCATAATTCATTGTAAGGTGTATTAATGTTAATGAATTCTGTATTACTCTTAGGTTAGCATTGCAACTTCAACAACTTCAAGTGTTGAATATGCCCACATTCCTCACCTCAGTTCTGCTACAATTCCTACTGTACAAAATGAATCACTTTTATTAACTTAAAATAATGGGAATCTGGAAGCCCTCACTGGACCTGGTACTCCACATATCAATGGGAAGTCTGTATGTGATGAATTTGATCAGTTGATCAAAAACATGGCCCAGGTGAGAGCATTTCTTCCTGTTAGGTATCTTAGAATGCATCTTAAGAATGTGATCAAGTCCTGGGTTACTTAAAAAAATGTAGTGGCATTTATAACATGTAAAAATTTTGGTATGAGAAGAGTTTGGATGGTTCTGAGATTTTTCTATTGTATATTTTGTTTTTTAATTATCAAATTTTGAGTATTATATGTTATACTCCAGAAATATTCCTTGAGAAAAAGAAAATATCCTGTTCTAGGAGATAACTGCTCAAAATTATCTTAGAAAATAATTTTTCAGTTTTGTCTTTTTTTTATTTCCATAAACAAAGTAATACCATTTAGTCATCAGATGGAAGTCAACTGCATTAATTGGCTTTTAATTTCATTTCTTGCTTTGTTTTCTAATCAGGGTCGACATGTGGAAGTTTTTGAGCTCCTCAAACCTCCATATGGAGGCCTTGGGTTTAGTGTTGTGGGACTCAGGAGTGAAAACAGGGGTGAGCTGGGGATATTTGTGCAAGAGATACAAGAGGGCAGTGTGGCTCACAGGTAAGATTGTCGCAGCATCTTCTCTTGTTTTTGATATCACAATCAGAAAATTTGATCAGTATGGGGAAATTTAGAAAAGCAAAAACAAAGAAAAACAAACAACAATGAGAGTTGAACATGACCTGATATTAACCAGTTTGGGGAATTCATTAACATTTTGTGGTGAAAAGCAAGTCCTTTGAAGTAACTGTAGCTCTTAAATAGTATGAATTTATTTTAGTAAGGAAAGAAAAATTTGAGTAGAATATTTTCATTGTTATTAACTGGGCTTTTTTATTAGATATAAGAATTGCTGTACTAGAAATGAGTGATGATAATTTGAGCTGTGTTTTATAAATATGCTAAGAGAAATAAAGCAATATATGTATCTATACTTTGATTTTTAAAAGATAGGACCATCTAAAATACAATGAGTAGGTTGAATGGGCAGTTCAAAAAACAAACAAAAAAACAAAAAGAGGCCTTTTAAATGGAGGAGTTGCTTAGGAATGGCAGTAGAATTATCTTAAGAAAGTTGACCACCTGGAGCTAAGCATATACTTTATTTTTTCTTAAGAAGTATTTTATTATTTTTCTGTGTCAGTAATTTCTCCATCTAAAATAGACCTCTGAAGAAGACCATGCTTTATTTTATTGTGGATGCACAAGAGGTAAAAGCCACCCATATAATTCTTATTTTATTTGTTCTTTGTAGATATATATGATGCTAGAGTGTATTTTGGCATATCATACGTACATGGAGTCTAACTTCCCATTCTTGTGGTTTTACATGATGTGGAGTTACACTGGTTGTATATTCATATATGAACATAGGAAAATTCTTTCTGATGCATTCTACTGTCTTTCCTATTTTCATCTTCCCTCCCTTCCCTTCATTCCCCTTTGTCTGATTCAATGAACTTCTAATCTTCCCTTCCCTTGTTGTGGGTTAGCATCCATATATTAGAACATTCTTCAAGCATACACTTTAAAAATGGAACTGCAGGAAAAAGCTTAAAAAGTGTGGAAATTTAAAAATAGGATTTAAAGTAACCTGAACATATATGCCAAAGAAGCTTTTTCTTTCTTGAGAGCTGTCAAATATCTTTTTATCACCTTGTTTTTCACCTCTTACAGAGACGGAAGACTGAAGGAAACTGATCAGATCCTTGCTATCAATGGACAGGCACTTGATCAGACCATCACACATCAGCAGGCTATCAGCATCCTGCAGAAGGCCAAAGATGCTGTCCAGCTAGTTATAGCCAGAGGCTCCTTACCTCAGCTTATCAGCCCCAGAGTTTCCCGTTCTCCATCTGCAGCCAGTACAATTTCAGCTCACTTGAATCCCGTGAGTGCCTGAGATTTTCAAACAGAACAGAACGTACTTTTCTAATTCTTTTTAGTTGTGTACAGGTTTCTAATTCGTATAGGTTCTTTGTATTTCTTGAATTTTTTTAAAAAAATTCATATCTTTTCAGCCTGGAATATTTGTCATTTAATTATGATTGTTGGCAGCTTCTAAAACAGCCTTTTCTTTGTGTAGTTTTTTTACATCATCATTCCTCAAAAACAACAATAACAAAAAGAAGTATGGTTCTTTCACAAAATTGACTTTTCAGTAGACAGATACAATCTTGACTTTGCTTTATAAATTATACAGTTATATTGTTACAGTTGGCTGTCTGTGACTTTAAGAAGTCATGTAATTTGGAATTTTTCCTGTAGGCAAGATTCAAAGGAAGACATTCTTAACACATGACATTTTTTTTCCTTGATCTTTTTCTATTTTTTTTAAAGACATTCTACAGCAGATATTTAAAAATCAGTGCTCATCATTAATTGGGAGGAAATGTAAACATTTTAATGATGTATTAATAAAAAATAGCAATAAATGTCTTTTGAAAGAGAAGTATACTGAATTAAAGGGTATTCTTAGGGTTCATTGTATTATCTGAAATAAGTTATTTAATACTAATAAAGTGATCACAAAATATCCATTGTGATGTAAAATTTTAGTGTTTCATAAAATTTTAGAAATTCTCATAGGAGCTTTATCTTTAGGTTCATTGGCAGCATGTAGAAACAATTGAACTGGTGAATGATGGGTCTGGTTTGGGATTTGGCATCATCAGAGGAAAAGCAACGGGTGTGATAGTCAAAACCATTCTGCCTGGAGGAGTAGCTGATCAGGTAAGCTACTCTAATAGGTCTTCATTGATGTTTACCCCAAAGTATGACTTCATCTTTTATACATTCTGTTGGAAAGTAGAAACTTTGGCTTTAAATAATGTCAAAGGAGAAATACTCTTTGGGGAGAAATACTTTTGAAAAGGGACAATGAACTTGAGTTTCAGATAAAGACAATAAATTTAATATTCCTTAGAACCACAAACTTAAACCAAGGTTATGGTGAACTACTATATTGATTATAACACTTCATTTATAAAGTTCTTGTTGTTACATGTTTGTTTGAATATAAATTAGAAAGCCAGGTTTATAAAACATTGATTGTATTCATAAATGAAAGGTCTATTAATGGAAGCCTTTTCATTAGGGATTTAACAATAATATAATAATATATGACATTTTCTTCCTTTAAGACATTAGCATATAGCAGTATCCAATAAAGTTGTTAAGCTTTGAGAGATCTATCTTATCTATGCTTTATCTTCAATATAAAGCTATCCTCTCCAATATTATTAAATTCAAATTTACATTCATTAAAATTAAAAGAGATTACAAATCTGTTCCCCAGTTGGACTACCATATTCCAAGTGTTCCACAGCCAAGGGTTGCTTGTAACTGCTGTGTTGGACAGTGTGAAAGTTCTGTTATTGCAGAAAATAGCAGCAATTACATGGAGGCTTATAAGACTAATTCTCATGCCTCTTGTCTATCTGTCTTTTATTTCACTAGAATTTCATATGAAAGTATATTCTTTTGATGTTTATAATTGAAATACCAAGGGACAAAATTATGAGATTTATATAATACTCTATTGTGGTTCATAAAATATTTTGAATAATATGTACTATATATTTGCCTAGTAACTTCATACTTAATCTTTGCTTAGGACTTTTCTTGTTTCTGTCCCTGAAAAAACAAAAATCACAAAAAAAGCCTTTTTTTTTTTCTGCTTGCATTTAGTGATAGAAATCAGAGTGACAAGTTCATATCAGCCCATCAATTTAGGGAGTATTTGTGAATTTTATTTACTTATATCACACTGAGTGGGCTGGAATAGTTCAGAAGACAGTTCATGTTACATGTTCAGTGTCTCATGATTGCCATGTTGTCATCTCATTGCAATCTTCTTTTAGTATTATTCCCTCTCCCTCATTTAGGATTTCTCTGATGGAGTTACAATAACAATACTCTAATGACGCAACTCCCCACCCCCTTTTTTTGGTTCAGCATGGGCGATTATGCAGTGGAGACCACATTCTAAAGATTGGTGATACAGATTTGGCAGGAATGAGCAGTGAGAAAGTAGCACAAGTCCTTAGGCAGTGTGGAAACAGAGTTAAGTTAATGATTACAAGAGGTGCCATAGTAGAAACTACAGCACCCGCCTCTTTGGGCATCACCCTCTCCTCTTCCCCAACATCTGCGCCAGAGATGCCGGTAAGTAGATAAAAACTGTTAATGTGAATGTCAGAGAAAATAACCCTTAGATGACAATGATATTGTTTTAGAAACTAGACTTACTTATGTTTATTATTAGTGTTAAAAACGTAACAAAACTTAGGGAATTTTGTAGAGATGCTTCAGCATTAATAATATTTATTAATCAGGAGTAATGTTTAAAAGAGATGAAAAATACTTGCCTAAAAATGCTGGGTGACTATTTTACTTTTTTTATGAGGATAATGTTTTGAAGTATGGATGAAATATAAAGAATTATGTACTATTAATACCTAAAATGTTGAATTATATTTTTCTCTTAATTAGAAGACTTTCTGTAAAATGGGTCAGTTCTTTCATTCCCATTTGACAGCTTTCTTTTTAGTATTTATGTTTTGTTTTGGAAGTGTGGAGGCTGAAAGTGAGAGCAGGATTTCTGGCAATGAATAAAGTTTTTCAAAACCTTCAGTTTTATTGTTTTAAGGTATGCCTTAGAACTGTTGATCAGATATGTAATGAAATGAGTGGTCATTGTTCTTGACTCAGTTACATAAGCTTTTAGACAAATGTTATACCTTAAGTTTATAAGTTTTTGGACAAATGTTGTAACAGAAACTTTACTCATAGGTGTAACATTCTGTCTTTTCCCTTAACTTGATATGAAAAAAATCGGGAAAATTTCAAAATGATTGAATGGTTTTAACTATCATAACTGGTTTACAGATTGTAAGACTATAGTGGCTAAAATATCAACAAAATAAATTTATCCATAAATGTCTTAAATATTTAAGAAAAGAATTATACCAATTTCTAAATAAGATTTATAACAAATGCAAATCCTATATTCCTTTCTCACAGTGATAATATGTTTTTATCTATTAAAGTTGTTTCTATGCATTTGCTATAAATTCTTTTTTCAAATCCGAATCTCTTTCATAAGCCCTTTAAAACTTTATTAGAACACTTGAAATTTCCATGATTCTGTTGTTTTTAGGATTGAGTTTGGTTGCTATTTTTTGCAAAGAGAAGTAAGAAAGAAAGCTTGTTTATGAAAGCATTTAAATGGCATTCTTTTGTGGTAAACAAAACATTTTATTCAGCAATATATAAATGAATGCAATACCAAAAACTACTTGATGTAATTGAAAGCTTAGAAAAATATCTATTCTGTGCATATCATCATTTCTGAAGCTTGTGCCCCTTTTAAAACCATTCAATAGTCAAATTGCCACCCTCTAAAATAGCACTCGCATAAGTCTTATTAAAAATAGAAAACACGTTTGTTTCAATTGAAGCAGATTTCATCCTGTCATTTTCTTGTAATTATATAAACTTTAAACTTTTGCTAAGTTTGCACAGATAATTATGTGCAATGAAAAAATAAATCAAACTTTACTGAAAAATTTATCTCATTTAGGTGGACCAACATTGGGATGTATTCAGTTTGTTTGAAGAAAATCAGAAATATTATCAGCTAGCCCCAAACTGCATGTTGATTAGAACTCAGAGCCTTGATTTTGTCATTTTCTTCTTAGGGTTCTCTGTAGAATCTGCTTACGTCACACTAATGCATAGTCCCAATAACTTATTGATGACATATTATACCAGTCTACTAATGCTTAATGTGGGAAAACTGAGCCTTCAGTCTACTGTATAATTAATAACAACTCTGCATGTTATTAAAAGCTTACATCTGAGGTACCTACTTCCAGCTGTCATTCCAGGAAGGAGGAATCCTAATGAACAAAGGATTTTCATAGTAAAGTCTGAATTTACCAAAGGGCAGTTTAAAAGACTTCCTTCATGCATTTTATTGGTTTTCAAAATGAGCCATCAGCCTATTTATAATAAAGCTGAAGGATAGATTTATCGATATTTGTATTATTAGAATCAACTACAAACTTCAGATAATAATAGCAGCTAACATGTAGGCACTGTGGCTGCTCTGTTCTACTAGAAGTGGTCCATACAGTGTGTCAGTTAAGAGTAGCAGCTCCACAATAAGTGTTAGGATTTGAATTCTACTTCTACTAGGTTGTTAGCGCTTTGTCTTTAAAATAGTTTATGTGCCTGTTTTCTCATAAAACAATTGATTCAGTAATTGTACCACCTCATTTTATAAAAGGAATATAAAACATATCATTATAAGGAATAAGAAATTAAGATGTCAGTTGCCTCTTACATGGAAACTGCTTAATAAATAGTAGCTGGACTGGTTGTTACTCTTCTCTTGTTAGACAGTTGTGCAAACTAATGTTTAGAAAATCTAGTGGCAAAGCTAGGTTTGTATTTGTTGATCTGAATTCAAGACTTGAATTCTTTCAACTGAGCCACATTTAGACTCCTTCAGAAATGAAGATGTGTCATCTATGAAAACAGAATTTGTTAAGAAAAACCCATTTAATTAAAAAAAAAGTGTGTACAAACAGTGTATCTCTCCAATAAGGGGAGGTTCAATCTTAACATTCCTTTCTGAGTAAAAATGTGATTCTCAGTTCATCAATGTTGCATGATTGAAGTAGTAATCTCTACTGTAACTCTCTAGCAGAGTTCTCTGACACCTTGTTATGTCATATTATTCCTCAGTTAAAGCTATGGCTTTGTGAAATTGTTTTTTTCTTTTTTTACATGTTTATTTTTTGTATATTTATTTATCGATTTTATTTCAGGTTGATGCTTCTACTCAGAAAAATGAAGAAAGTGAGACATTTGATGTGGAACTCACTAAAAATGTCCAAGGATTAGGAATTACCATTGCTGGTTATATTGGAGATAAAAAATTAGGTAATTTTAAATCTTAAATTTTTTTTTTTTAAACTTGGGAATTGCCTCTAGTATCTGTGTCTTATGAAATATTTAATCAACATTATATGTTTTCAAATAGTTTGGTAAATTATTTGAAAACATCCTTAGAAATAATTTAGTGTAGGTAACTCTAAACAAACAAAACAATTACCTTATCCTTTCTACTAGAGATTTTGTTTGTGTGGCTTTTTGATAGTTATTTATTCACAATTGAAGCTTTTTATTTGGAGAATGTAGGATGGACATTTTTTTAATGTGTTTGTAAATAGCGAAAAATAACCTATTTCTAATCTTAGAACCTTCGGGAATCTTTGTAAAAAGCATCACAAAAAGCAGTGTTGTTGAACATGATGGAAGAATTCAAATTGGAGACCAAATTATAGCAGTAAGTTACACATTTAATAATAGCTTTGTCAAATTTCATGGTCGAGAATGCATTTTCCTAGTTTATACTCAGTTCTGAGAAAACAGTTAACTGTACTGATTTAACCTTTTCTTTAGTGGCTTGAGGCTCTCATTACAATTATCCTTTTTATTATTTTGTGGAAACAAAATAGCATTGGATAGAAGCTCTACTGATCTCAATTCTAAAGCAAAGGTTTTTTTCTTAAACAATTTCTGATATTTTTGATTTCTGGTTGTAATGAATTTCTTACTGTTACTATTACAGTTCTCCTTGGAGATACTACAAAGGTAAAGACCAGATGTAATGACCATTAGTGTATTTGAGTCTCAATTTGGGATGTGTGGCATTTGTTTTATCAGCAGAATGATGCTCCTGCTTTGACTCCACGGGCAGAGAGCACCTTTTAGCTCTAATATAAAAGAATAACAAATAGATTCAGCCACTTTTAATTAGATCAGTTCATCATGCTATTGTAATGACATCAGTACATATGTCTGTTTGAGGCAGTGTATAGAAGAATCTAACCTTCAAATCAGTGTTCAGTAAATACTAGACTTCACAAACCGCTTCCTGAAACACAAATTCATTAGTCCCATACCAGTTGCTTCCTAATTGAAATAAGTTTAGTGAAAAATATATATTATATAGTCTTTTAGAGATTCACTGTGTACCTTGAAAAACTGAAGACTCTGAGAAGTCCTGCAGTAGAGAAACTTGTTTACCTCTTTTACCCTGATGGTTCCAAATTTTATAATTGTGGAATCTTTCTTTCTTTGGAAGACATCTTGGGTAATGCTGATTTATCTTCATAGGTATTTGTGTATGCTTAATTAAGCCTATTTTGTTTTTTGTTCCTCAGGAATCTTAATGATAGTGAGGTGGGGCATAGATAAAAGAGTCCTTGAGTATAGCAATGTTATGCATGGTCCATGGAAACAACCAGATGTGCAAGGATCAATGAGTAGATAAGCAAATTTTGGTATATTCATACAGTGGAATGCTAGTCAGTCTTTTAAAAGAAGGAAATCCTGTCACTTTCTATAACATGGATAATTCTCAAGGATATTATGCAAAGTAAAATATGCCAGTCAAGAAAGACAAATACTGTATGATTCCAGTTATTTGGGATGTGTGAACTAATCAGACTTAGAGAAATGGAAGGTAGAATGGTGTTACCAGAGGCTGGGGAAAGGGCGAATGTGAAGTTGCTCAGTGGAATAGAGATTCATTTTGCAAGATGAAAACGTCCTATAGATCTGTCATAGAACAATGTGAATAAAATGGTTAAGATGGTGAATTTTATATATTTTTTACCACAATAAAAAAAAAGATATAGGGTTCTTTTATCTCTGCCTTTTGAGTCTAATTGCATCTCCCTGAGTCTTCTTGGGTATAATGCTATGAAGCTCCTACCTACACACTTGTTCAAGTCTTGAAATCAAGTTGAGTTCACCACCTTGTCTGGCTACCTGCTAGAACTGGTTTCCCTAGTGCATCTCCATTTTACCATGCAATACAAATTAGTCCCCTTGTGTTTTTATTTTAAGGGAAAGGGAGGAAGAGAGAATAAATAGATATAGAGTCTAAATTCATATATGATGCTGAATTAAAAGTTGAAAATTTGACTAATTTACTTTTTCCTCTGTATCTATATTAGTTCATCAGAAAGTTTCTTAAAAACCAGTTTTATTGAAATATCATTTATATGCCAAAAACCTCACCCATTTAAAGTGTATGTTTCAGTAGCTCTTCATATATTCACATTGCTAGAAGTTCATTATCACAATCAATTTTAGAACATTTTCATTACTCTAAAGAGAAGCCCCCTATCCTTTAGCAGTTCCTCCCTAATTTCCTCATCTTCTCTGCCCTAGGCAGCCACCAGCCTACTTTCTGCCTTTGTAGATTTGCCTATTCTGAGGCATTTCATGTAAATAGAATCCTATAAGATTTGGTCCTTTGTGATTGACTTCTTTGACTTAGAGTGTTTTCAGGGTTTGTCTGTGTTGTAGCATGTGTCAATTCTTTATATTCTTTTATTGCTGACTAATAGTCACTGTATGGGTACACCACATTTACCCATTCATCATTGGATAAATATGTGGGTTGTTTTCACTTTTTGGCTTTTATGGATAATGCTGCTGTGATCATTCATGTACGATGTTCTGCTTTATTTTTATTTTCATTTCTCTTGGATATATACTAAGGAGTGAAATTGATGGATCTTATCATAATTCTGTTTAACCATTTAGCAAGTTGCTTGTACATCATAAACATTATATGTGTGTGTGTGTATAATTTTTATTTGTGAATTTTAAAAGTTAATAATAATTTAAAAGTCACAGACTAGTCCAGTAGTGATACAAACTTCTGTTCAAAGAATATATTATCTCAATGATTTATGGTTTGTTGGATATCAAACAGTTTGTATCAAACTCAGCAATGGTCTCTTTTTTTTTTTTTTAATTTTTTTTTGTAGTTGTAGATGGACAGCATGCCTTTATTTTATTTATTTATTTTTATGTGGTGCTGAGGATCAAACCCAGGGCCTCACACATGCTAGGCAAGCACTCTGCCACTGAGCTACAACCCCAGCCCCGAGCAATGGTCTCTTAATACTGTGTTAAATTGCGTATAAACACTCTTGCTTCTTAAATGCTCCTTCAACCAATTACAACATCTTACTAGTTCTTTCATTCATTAACAATTTAAAATCTTTGGCAAGCCATTTTGTATTTGCCATGATTTGGATTTCTGCAAATTATATTTTAACACTATTCACTGAATAATTCATGTGAAATAGTGTTGTAGATGTTTGGATTTGAAGCTTGGTAAAAATGACCACTCTGTGGTATAAATGCACCACCAGTAGTTAAATTTTACTGTAATCACCTCTAAGATACGTTGCAACAAATGATATCAAATGTATCAAGATGGGAAACCCAAAGAACCATGGGTTTCAGGGAGAGAGACTCAAATGGTAGGTACTCAGACATTCTACCTTTCTAGGATGAAGTGCTGCCAAAATACAAGAAGTCAAGGGTTGGTGGGAGTCTTGACCATATTGTCTGATACTTTTTTTTTTAACTGAGCTATGTTTCCTGTAACTTGCACCAAGTTCTGATGTAGTTTCTGACTGTATTACTTCTGGTATCTTCTTAGCAATCTTTTTGAATATTTCTTTACCTACAAAATTAGAATAAGGAAATGTCACTTGTATGATTGTTTAGGAGAACCAAATAAGATCTTTATTTAAAATATCTGATGTCATACTTAGCACATAAGTAAGTCCTTCATTCAAAATATCTGATGTTATACTTAGCACAGAAGTACATTTTAATTAATTAAGGCAATAATTATTTGAGGGCCTAAAATGGTTACATCTTGGAAAGAGTCTCACAGTACTTTTCTCTCTAAACCTATCATTATCTTCATTCTTATATAAGTGGAATCTCAAATATAATTCCTCTTAGGCAAGGTCAATGATAAAGGAAATTGTTGACTCAAAAAATAGAAATGCCTTTTTGTTTGGAGTGTTTTCTTATATTCAGTAAAATCACTTGCTTTCCTTGTCATCAGTATTGTGAGTTTTACTTGACAACTTCTAGCAACATTTTCTTACTTCAAAGTTATAAGCATCTCTAAGTCCTGGGACACTTACATAATACTTTAGATCACGCATTAATTTTGTGCAAAATATCACCATCTTGTGGACTTTTGGTATATGGTAGTTGCATTTTCACGACTGTAGTCTTTTTTGTCTATTTGTTCTATTTTTGTTGTAACAGCAGCTATTGGAGCTATAGTCTATTTTTATTTTGTAATTGTCATATTGTGAGAAGACTGAGAAACTATTTCTTACTATTTTTAGGGAGTATTGTTTTATAACTTAAAAGTACTTTATTCTAAAATTCTTGTTTCACAGACTGTTCTGTGTATGTGTATGGTTTCACTATAGGCATTACAGGGCAGGAAATAGAGTACATATTCTATTCCTTCCTCCCCCTTTTCATTTGTTGGTATTCTATGTAATGATTATTTGAAAAAAGTCTATTGTGTTTTCAAAAAGTTGACAAGCTTGTTAGATAAAATTATTTTATTATAATTAATATTAATGATAATAATTAACTCATTATTATTAAATTATTATTACATTTTGATATTCAGTGATCCATGCCCAAACCATTATGACTGATAAAATATTAAACAAATATATAAATTAGAAAAAGTTTCAAGTGTTGCTTTTGATATTCTGTGACTTTGTTAAGAGTTTCAGGTTCTCTACAGGTAATGGCTCTGTTGGAGGAGGGCTTGGCAGTCTACATTGAATAAGCTAAGGAGCCTAGGTCTGTGAGCTGTGCCAACTAGTGTTTCTTCCCTAAATTGTTCCTGTAAATGGCAGTATCTGCACTGCACATTAGGAGATGTTATCTTTTCTTCATGAGAGAGTGTAGAGGCAGTTTGCTGCCATTGTACCTAATTTCACTTCACATTTCTTTGGTGTCATTGAGTCTGAACTGGGCTCCTGAGTTTGTGGTAAGTGTGACTCATATGTAGATGGATGTGAATATATTGAACAGAAACTGCTCCCAGGGAATATTGGGGTTTGTATGTTTATTACTCATATCTTCATTCTGTTAATAATAATGCCAGCCCTTGACTATCTTCCCAGTACAACGTGCTGTGTATTACAATTCTGGAAATATAGATATCCTTAGTTCCATATTACAGATGAAGATACTACAGAAATTTGAACTGAAGTCAAAAGCCATTATAGCAATTTTTTCTCTTCTAGTAGTGTCCTCTAATATTTGGGTAAGGAATGTATTATAAAATCCAAGTTACTAAGTTTTGAAAAACATGGGAAATAATTTTTTTCTACACACATTTGAGGCATATTACTCTTACAAAATCACACACATTCGATTTTTCTTAATGCAAGAATTGAGCAATAACAATCTATTGCAAATGAAAAATTTGTAGCCTAAATTTTGTGTATTTTAAGAAGTTTTTTAGAATCTCACTATTAAGATTTTTGAAAGTTTTTTAAAAAATTTTTTCTTCATTACCACAAGAGTAATAAAAATAAGTAGCAGCTGGGCAAAGTGACACATACTGTAATCCTAGGCATCAGGAGGCTAAGGCAAGAAGATCTTAAGTTTAGGTCTAGGTGGACAACTTAGACTCCTTCTTAAAATAAAAAATAAAAAGTGGTATGTGTGTATGTAGCTCAAGGGTATAGCACCCCTAGGTTCAATGCCCAGTACTGAAAAAAAAAAGTTCATTTATTTTAGATTAATTTTTTTTTGTTTTTGAAGTTCAAAGAATATAAAATTTGAACATGGTTAAAAAACCTTCTCATAGAAACCATTATTAATAGTTTATTATTTAAAGGTCAAGAAAGAGCCATGTATGTATATTTAAGAAGTATTATACCTTTAAATTTAAAAAAAAAAATTTAAAATTTTATGTCTACCTTTTAAGATATTTTTGCTTAAAAATATACCTGGGAGGTATAGTGATTATAAGCACATGTGGATCTACTGTGATATGTTTAAGCAGCCTTAATCATAGAGGGTTTTTATTTTCAGTTGTTATAAACAGATTATTATATACTACTTTATAGAACTTCTATTTTTAAAGAAAACTTAAAACATTTGAATTCAGTTTTGTTGCTGTAATAGTATTAGTTGGATTTGAATTTCTCTTGTTTCTTAGTACTAGTTCTTATATGCCACAATTTTCTTTGAATTTTAAATTGGATTAATATATCAACAGTTTTCTGGGAAAATTTCACAGGAAGAGAATATGTTGGTAGACTTTCCAAACTTTTTGTGTCTGAGAATGTTGAAGGAGGATGGGACATGTTTCTTTGATTGGTGCTGCTGGAAGATGTCTTTATGCTGAATGGAATTGGCAGGTGATTAGAACTGACTCTCTGTTAGGGTCTGTTGGGAGATCCCAGTGGAGATTTTTGACTTAACTTTGCATGAATGATAGATGATAGATTTTCTGTCTGGCTAACTCTTCAACACTTTAAACCCTGATTTGTCATCAGTCTACTCCATACATACTCTCTTGGGTCCTGTGATTCCTGAGGGACACTACTTGGGTAGCTTTCAGAGTGACTTGAGCTTGGATTTCTTATATGTGTGGCTCCCCTATGGTCTATTCCCAAAGACAGGGAGTTGAGCAGGTCTCAACATCACAGTTTGCTTTTGCTTCATTGTCAGAGCAGGTAAATAGCCTCTGGCCTTGTCATCCTGATGGAGTTATACAGTCCCTTCTCTTCTGCAGATGACAGATCTTCTGACCTGAGGTCATCCGGGGAAATGTATACCTGGGTGGGTGGGATGGGACTTATAGCACTCTTTCCTCTTTTATTTAAAAAGAAGACTTTTCTTTTTAATTTTTTTACTAAGTTTGAACAACCCAGTCATTTCATGCCCTAAGTATGCATGAATTTTCATTCTTAATACCTCATTTATATGTCTGCATGGTGGCCCCTTTCCCCATTTTGGTATAGGATCTCAGTACTCTTAGCTTCCCAACCATAGTTTCCATTTTCACATGCATTGCATTGCATATAAAACTCTAGTTTCCTACTTTCTTTACTGAAGTTCTTAGATAGCCTACTTTCTCCAGGGCCTAGAGGCTGATAGATTTTTTTTTTCTTTTGATCTTTGAAATAGAAGAGCTTTACCAGACTATGTCCAGGTGTTAGATTTTTTTCTTTTTCTTTCTTTATTTTTTTTGTTTTTTTCACTTTTCATGTGTCTCTTTGATTTGTAGACTTGGGTAAGTTTCCCTTCCCTGTAGTCATTTCTTTGATTATTTTTTCTCATTTCTTTTCTCTTCTCATAATGCCTTTCAAAGTATATTGGGTTTCTCAGATCAGCCTGTGTGTCGACAGTTTTATTTTACCAATCACTTTTATCTATTTATTCTTTTCCTCTGAGATACGGGAAAATTGCATGATCCTGTCTTCCATTTCCTGGCTTTGTTTTTACAGTACTTAAAATCTTGTAAGCTGCCTTCATTGTAAGTTTTCTTTCTTTTCTCTTTTTTTTTTTTTTGATAGATACATATTTTTCTTTGTAACTATAATTTCTATTTCCACATATACAATGAAATTTGAATCATTTTGAAAGGAAATTTCAGGAAATATCTTTTTTCTTGCTCACTTGAATAACAGCTTCACAGGAAGATACCTGGGTTGATAGCACAGTGTGCATACCTTCTTTTGAACTGTGGCATTTTATTTCATATCCTGTGACTTTTGGTCATGCCTGAAAAAAGCTGTGCTTGTACAAATGGGAACTGAGGTGGACTTTACTGGAGATTGTGTGGGTTTTCAGATAGTTTGGGAATTGAGAGCCAGAATTAAGGTATAAGTTTAAATTTACCATACATAATTTCACCTGATTTGTTTGTAGATAAACAAAATAAAGAAAGGAAACCAGTGCTTGTGAACATCACAGTGGAGAACTTTGGCTCTGCGTGGGGACAGATTTGTTTTCTGTGTTTCTTAGGGTAAACAGGAGTCAGTTAGAATTTTTTTTTTTGTGTGTGTGTGTGTGTGTATATACACACATGTGCACACATCGATGTATCCATACACATATGCATCACAAAGGTGATTTTTATTACATGTCAGTAATTCTGTGCTGCTGCATGCTCCCAGGTTGCTGTGGCCTCTAGGCTTAGATTACTCAGAGTCACTGATTGGGATCCACATGTATCAACTGATCCACCTCTTTTAATGCGAGAATGTTGTTTGAAAGAATTTTCTCTTCAAAGAACAGACAAGCTGTTCCTGCATTTACAGAAATTTGGCTGGCCTGCCTTTGATCTGATCAGGGCCAGACCATTGCTAGTAGAAGTTTCTTCAAGTTACTGGTGTAAGAACTTACTTTCATTATTTGTTTCCAGTTTTGTTGCAGGATTTCTCCATTACTATAATTTGTTAGTTTATGTAAAAAAGGAATCATCAGGGTAGGCATGGAAAAAGAAGACTATCAGATACCTGTGTTCTAGTTACTGTTTTACCCAGAAAAATTATAGAAGATTTAAGGACCCCTTAGTGTGAGATGGTTATCTAGATCAACAGTCTCTAGTTTTGGTTTGAATAGCCCATTAATAAAAATATTTATCTATTTCTTCCTCAGTTTCTTTCCACCCTTCTGTATCTTCAAATATATGTTGTTATATGTTTATATATATATATATATTTATATATAATTGATATAGACTTTATATATGTGTGTGTGTATACCAATGAGTTTTTAAAGTTTTAGAAGTTTTATTATATTCTTCCAGAAATCTCTGTAATAAGGATACTCTTGTCTTGGAGATCTCTGATCTAGATGTCATAATTCTCAGTCATTTAGTAAACATTTGAATGCCGAATGTGGCTGCTATCATTGTGCTTAGAAAAGCATGACATTTACATCCATTGTGCAATTCAAAAGAATTATCAGTGACTTTGAATTTCAACATTTCATTTGTTTGGTCTACTTTTCCAGTTTTCATTGTGATTTTATGAATGTTTAAAAGTATGATGTTTTAGTCTATATTTATTTATATTTCCCCAAAGGTATTTGCTTTCCAGATAAATCTTTGATATGTGATCTGTTGGTTCTGTCCTCCCATGTGGGATGAATATTTACTGTGCACATAGCACTATGTTCTGGTGGTAACATTTAAAAAGGCATATAAGCCTGGGCCCATCCTAAAACTCTTGGCTCATAATTTCTAGAAGTGTTACCCCAGAATCTAGATTATCCCTCCTCAAGGATTCTAGCATACCTACGTTAATACTGGTCCTCAAGCAAGTGTTGGAATGTCATTGTCCATACCCAGTTATAGAACTACTCATTTCCCTTTCTTTTCACAGTAATAAGCAGTAAATATCCATTTTATGAGTTAGCAGTATAAATCTCCATCTATTTTCAACGTCTTGTTATCACAGGTAGATGGCACCAACCTCCAGGGTTTCACCAATCAACAAGCAGTAGAGGTGTTGCGACACACAGGTCAGACTGTGCGCCTGACTCTAATGAGGAGAGGAACCAAGCAGGAAGGGGAGCTCATATCAAGGGAGGAAATCATGAAAGATTCTGACATGTCTCTCTTTAATGCCAGTGTAAGCAAAGGTAATGCCAGGTTAATATGCTTTTCAGTTACACATTTATATTACTCAGATATTTTTCTAATTCTAAAATCATTTGTTTTTCTTTTCCTCAACGATTTATTAAAACCAAGGAAAAGAAAAGGTTTAGTAAAGTTGGGAATAAGTGGAACCACCATCCTATGCATAAACTTCATAAGGTGTATTTCTATGTTGTATTCATTTAGCCACCACTTCTCAATTGGAAATGCGCAGGCATCTGCCTTTCTATACCTTCCTTACTTTTAGATGTCAGCATAATGTTTTATCTTTAGGGGGAGGAATGCAGATCTACCAGGATTATTTATATGAGCCATAATGACTAAATCCCCAGCCATTCCTTGAAGGAATCACATTTAGAAATGTCATTCATGAGCTGTTTGTATATTAGTATCTCTCATTGCTAAAATCCCCAGGAAGGGTTTATTGGTAGGTGTCAGGTTGTTGGTTGGAAAATGCTGTTGTGTTACCTAACTGCAGCACTAGGCGATGGGGCTGCAGGAGAATGTTTGTCCCTTTGCAGGGGGACTTTCCTTTTTTTTTTTTTGGTTACTGTGGAGTTTATCTTTATAAAACAGACTCTCATCTAGGGATTCAAATAAATATAGTGCCTTTAGAAAAATTCAAGTGCTTAGTTATTCAGATATTACTAATACAGATATTACTAATAAAATATTTTTATCTTTAAGAAAATTATGAAAAAGATGAAGATTCTTTATCTTTGAGGAGAAACACCAGCATATTACCAATTGAAGAAGAAGGTAAACATGGCTAAGACATTCTCATTGTGTTTTAAGAGAAGTGATTTTTTACAAGTGAGATAAGCAATAAGGATATACTGTGCGTTAATAAAAATATTGAAAAACATTATGCTTGTAAATCTCTATAGATATGATTAATTGCTCTCATATATTAAAACAGTTCATTTATAGTTGATTGTCTTCTTGATGAATCAGTCTGTTCTTTCTGCTACATTTTTGTTTGTTTTACCAGAAGCCTTTTGGACTCAATTGGTTATATAACATAGTTTTAATTTAATTCCTTTGCTTCTGTGTAGCTGAGATATCAGTACCTCAGCAAACAATAATACAATTAGAAAATATTTAAAAATAAACAAAGGAGAGTCTTTATAAATTCTTAGAATGAAACTGTTCAATTTTGGGAGGCCATTTTCACTTCTTAATTTTTTAAGAGTTCTAAGTTTTATCATTGGGAAGTTGATCTTGGAAAGTAATTATATAGAAAAATTAAACCTTTCTGAGAATTCTTTCTCTGTAAGTCTAGGATCTAGCGAGTTATTTAAAATGTTTTCAGAGCCCATTGTTTTAAGTTGTGATTATGCCAGTATGTTGCTTCCTTTACCTGACAGATTGCTTTAGGTGCTTTGGGACTATTCTAGGACTGAATAAAGTCCTAGAATTCCACCCTTTATTAAGACATAATACAGAGGCTTTGTAGTTCTTTAACATATCTGCTCTTTCTTTATTGCATTTTTTTTCTGCTGAAAATTTTAACGTGTTTTTATCATTTTAAAGCAATATTTGTGCTTATCAAAATATCTTGTAAGGGAGATATGCAAGATTCACACTACTTTTAAATGTATTCTGCCATTTTAATGCTAATAGGTAAAGATATTATTAAGACTAAAGTGAGTATCAAGACTAAGGAAAGGATACAAATGTTCAGAGTCTGAAACTGGAGATAGTGAGGATGGTGTGGGGTTATCTTGAAGATTCAGAACCATATATTTACCCTGGTGAAGGCAGCTCATGAGAAGTGCATATATTTGTGGGAAGTGAGTTGGGAAGGCTCTAGACTTAAAATCAGGAGTCCCAGAGTCTTTTTTAAACAAAGTAAACAAAGCAGAAATGTTTAAGTGATTTTCATGTGTCTGCTCTAATACTGTTTTTCATTTGGAGTATGAGGAGTCATTATTGCCTCTTTCACTGAAATTGTATACATGTGTAAGTCTGGATATGTAAGTTGACTTCTCAGTAAAAACAGAGAACCAGACTTTATGGTTTTTAACAAAATCCATGAAAACTAGTCTTGGGATTATTTAAAAGTGTGAACAGAGAATTTTATCACCATAGGTTAATTGAATGAATATGAATCTGAGATTATTTTAATCAGTGAATTCCTGAATACCCACATTGACCATTCATAATCCCACTTTGCTTAAGTTCCTGCCCAGCTATGTAAACACAAGGGAATAGGAGAAAGTGTGTTGGAGAAGGTAGGACTGATCTTTCTTTCCCAGAATTTGGCTTAAATGTTCCCTGTAAGTTGTGTTCACTCCTGCATAGTTATCTGTCTCAGAAATTAATTTAATTTTGAAGAGAAAACACTTATTTTGGGGGAGCAATCTCCAATCTTTGATTTTACAGTTCTGGGGATGAACCCAGGGCCACATTATGCTAGGCAAGTGCTGTGCCACTGACCTACGTGCACCTCCAGCCCTCCAAGTATTTTTAAAATTATGAACTATTTGATATAGTTTCTCAAGGTGAAAGCAGAATTGGCGTTTTAACCCAAGTTGTAACAAATCTGCAGAATATGCCTAGAGTGAGAGCTCCTGAATTCCTACTGCACAGGAGACATCTAATGAGAAATTTGAATTTTGAAACACTTTTTTAAAAAAAATTTATGGTTGTAGGTGAAGAACATGCCTTTATTTTGTTTGTTTATATGTGGTACTAAGGATCAAATCCAGTGCTGCACTCATCATAGGCAAGTGCTCTGCCACTGAGCCTCAGCCCAGCCCTTGAAACACTCTTTAAATTTTAGATTTGAATGCTGAAAGGGATAGATAGAGTACTGCCTAATAGAGAGTTTTAAAAGACAACCTGAGAGTACTCATCTACTGGGTAAAGAGTCAGAACCATGACGATACAGAGGTGTCTCTGAAATGTGATTGTAAAGTTCTTTTTCACGAGTTATTTTTTTTTTAAGTTAAGCATTTTAAATTAATTTGTTTGGGTAACTTTTTTGGTGGGCTTCTTCCCTCTTTTCTTTTTTTTTTTTTATATATTTTTCTATTTTCTTTTTAATTGTAATTATTTTTGCCAGTTAGTGAGATTCCATGCTAGTCTTTTATTTTAATGTGCAATCTCATTTTGTCATGTTTTTTTTTAAATTTATATTTTCTCACTATACATTGAATTGTATATATTATTTGTTAACTTGTTTTTGCTTGGCTAAGTAATAGCATACTCCTTTTCCCACTGTAGAACAAATGAAAACAAAAAAGAAAAAAATAACATAGAGGTGACAGACATGGCTTTTTACTGTAGAGTCACCAAAGGATGATGAAGAGAATCCCAAAGCAACCCAGAGTCCTCATTCTCTTAAATATTTAAATTGGATAATGTTATGGTTAGGATTTAAAAGATATCTTTTAAAAGATAATAGTGTTGAATATGCAATGGGGTTTTTCATTAAATCTGTAAAGTATAGAAGTGAGAGTACTCATCTACTGGGTAAAGAGTCTGACAAATCACAATAAATGTTGGTGAGAATGTGGAGAAAAGAGTACACTCATACATTTTTGGTGGGACTGTGAATTAGTGCAACCACTCTGGAAAGCAGTATGGAGATTCCTCAAATATCTAGGAATGGGATCATAATATGACCCAGCTATCCATTCCATGATACATATCCAAAAGATTTAAAATCAGCATACCTCAGTGACACAGAGACATCAGCATTTATAGCAGCACAATTTACAATAGCCAATTGATGGAACAACCTAGGTTTCCTTCACCAAATGAATGTATAAGGAAAATGTGGTATATTCAATGGAATATTACTCAGCCACAAAGAAGAATGACTTTTGGCATTTGCCAGTAAATGAATGGGACTGGAAACTATCATGCTAAGTGAAATAAGCCAGTCCCCAAAAGTCAAAGATCAAGTGTTTTCTCTAATATGTGAAAGGTCACCCAAAATAAGACAGGATGGGGAATTATTAAAAGAAGAAAGATCAGTGGAGTAAATGAAGGGAATGAAGGGAAGGGAAGAGGGCTAGGGAAAGACAGTAAAATGAATCAGATCTAACTGTCCTATGTACATATATGAACATACCACAGTGAATCTCACCATCATGTATAACTACTAGACACTAATTTTAAAGAAAGCTGTAAGTAAATGGAAGAAAGATCAGTAAAGTAGTGGGAGGGAAACGGGCGAGGGAAGAGGGAGGAAAAGGGAAGTAATGGGGACTGAATTATAACAAATTGTATTTCATGCTTTTATAATTATGTCAAAGTGAATACTAATGTTATGTATAACTAAAAAGATGAATACTATGTGTTATGTATGACTGAAAAGAACGAATTAAGTTGAAAAAAAATGTCTGACATGGTACGACATGTTCTAATCACTGTCTCTGGAACAGAATGTTAATATATGGAGAATTTTGTAATGTGTCACTAACTTAATTGCTTTGACTATTTCAGGGTATCAGTTGATATCAGCTGAGGCACAGGAAACAAAAGATATGCAACAAGAAGCTACCCTGCTGACAAAGTGGCAGAGGATTATGGGAATTAACTATGAAATAGTGGTAGGTTAGTTTACCCTCCCTAATATCCTAACTTGTAAATGTATTTGAACAGGAAGTTCATAGCAGTAATAGACATCATCTTCACAAGAAGTTCTAGAGAAGCAGTAAATATTCAAGGCTTTTTTAGAAGACCTAAGTATCCTAATTTGGGTACTGAAAATTTCAACTTGGAGAAAGTTATATAGTAAATGAGGAGTGGAAATAAATGGCATGGAAGTTTTAGAACTTGTATATCATCAGTATTTTAATACTTCTGATAATGGTGTAGATTATACACGAAGGAGGGGTTTTCTGATTCTTACACCTGTGGTTTATAGAAAGAATCCTCTTAAAAATAAGACAGAATTATCATGTCTGTAGAGAATTGGGGAAGGACTCTTTCCCTCACCTTCTTTTTTATTTTTGTGTATTTACTTTCCTTGAAGAGGTTAATCTGTCTACTTTTCCCTATCACTTATGCCATGGTAAATATTTTATATTTATTAACATGAAGCACTTTGTATATCTAGCCAACCTATCACAATGTGCTATTCTAAAGGGAGGTCTAAGAAAGTTGACACAAATCATTAATTTTACATGCATACCAGAAAATTTCAAGGATTTGAAAAGGAAAAGTAAAATACAAAGTTGGTTAGAATTTTTCATATTGCCAGAAATGTTTATATACCTTTGAATTGGGGGAGATAAAAGGCAAATGATAATATGTAATGTTAGTAACCACTACTTAGGGACACTTTGTTTCTACTGAGGAGGCACTTTGTTTCTAAGTAGTGCTCTTAATTTTTCATTTAATTTTCATGACAATAATTTTTTAACATTCAGAATAATTAACAAATAAGAATTGAGCTAGTACAGCTGTTGCTACCTTTTATAATTGAGTCAAGGAAAAATACAATTAGGAGGTCCAGCTCAACAGCAATTAATTTAGCATTTCCTTTTATGGGACAGGGTTAACTTAACTGGCATGCATAACTGAGCCTGCAGTTCTTTAGGTTGAAACTGAATGTTAAAGGACACCTACCCTTGATTAGACATTTCATCCCAGACTCAGAAACAATACTGAACTTCTAACTGTCCTCTGTGCATATACTGTTTTGGTGGGACTTCCAGTAATCTGGCAAAGGCAGAAGTGTGCTGTGATAAAGAAACCTATATTTACTTAATTAAATTTCCTATTAGCTCCAGAACTTTGAGAGGTAAACCATCTAAGCCTTTATCTTCCTCTATAAAATAGAACTAATATCACCTGCCTTATTGGTGCTTAAGTGTTCAAGAGATGACGAAAGACACCCAGATGGTGCTATCATTATATACAGAAAGAGTTACTTTTATAACTAAGCTGGTATGGTTCACACATATTTTTATGTTCCCTTTTCCTACCTACCCAAACTGCACAGTCCTTGATCTCAGGCCACTATGATACCTGGAACTTTATATATACAGTATGGCACCTGGATACCTTGTATCATTTAGAAATGTGATTAAATGGAAGTTTAGAGATGATATCTTAAGAATTACATGTAAATAAAACCAGTTTGTTTAAAATAAATAAGAAAGAACTAAGTTCTTTGGGCTGTGGTGAGACAACGGTAAAGGAAAAAGATCTGACTTCACTTTGTTTGCTATCTAGTTATGCAGCATACATGAAAATGTAGGAGTGGTGTAGCAGAGAAAAGTCCTTGTAGGCATTATCAGTAGAGACTTGGAAGTGTTCTGAGAGGAAAAAATGCCTAAATTGGGTTTTCAGGGGTGAGATTTTCATCTAGCATTTTATTTCAAAGTCATATAACTTTATTGATGTCGAACTTTCACCAGTTACCATTAAGAATAGAGGTACTTTGGACTAGACAGGGGGAATGAAGGAAGGGGAGGAGGTATGGGTTAGGAATGATAGTATAATGAGTGAAACATTGTTGCCCTATGTGCATGCATATTTACATGACCTATTTAACCCTACATTATGTACAACTAGAAAATGAGAAGTTATACTCCATTTATGTATGATGGATCAAAATGCAATCAATGGTCATATATTACTAGTTACAACAAATTTAAAAAATAATTAAAAAATTAGAAAATAAATAAAATTGATTTTCTTTCTTAGGAAAAATAATTAAGACATGGAAAGAACTATTTGATAATGAGTTTTTTTTTTCAGTTTTTTATTCCTCAGTTTCCTTAGCTGCAAAATAAAAGGGTTAAAGTAGATCATGTTTAGCATCCCTTCTGATTTTAATGATTATTGGATTCTGTGTGAAAATGAGTAAGTTCCTAACATTCTCCATTATCTGGTATAACTGCAAGAAATTAGAATTTGATTCCCTTGTTTTCAACTTCATTTCATTTATTAAAGATCACTGTTGTCTCTCAGTATTGCATAAAATCAAGAGTGAGGTTTTAGGGTGAGATCACTTTAGTTCAAAGTTCTATTCTCCTTGTGCAATTCTGGCCAAGGTAACCTTTCTGAACCTTATTTTCCTAACTTGGGAAACAAGGAGAGAAATTGTACCTATTTAAAGGAAGCATCTGAGACAATCTATGATATGGGAGCAGCGGGGGTTGGGGGGTGGGGGGTTGCGGATCAGCTTTGTCCCTGGCACACAGTAGCAAGTACAGAGAGTGTGTTTTCTTTATTGTTGTGTGAGCTCAGGTCCTATTGTAATTTTGACTGCTTTCCATCTGCTGTCAGTATCTATGGCCAGTAAAGAGCTGGCTGCTTCCTTTTGGTCTATTGGTTCATGAAGCCAGTTTAGACATCAGAATTCTTTCAAAGGCAAAGCTTTGAAACTTTACACGTAGGTTTTTGAAGCTTTTATGAGAAAGTTGGCCATTTTGGGATGAATACAGAATGTATGCATGAGTAGAAAAAGAAAGGAATGTTAGAATTGTAATAATTTTTATTCTTTTAGGTGGCCCACATGAGCAAGTTTAGTGAGAATAGTGGGTTGGGAATAAGCCTGGAAGCAACAGTGGGACATCATTTTATCCGATCAGTTCTACCAGAAGGTCCTGTTGGACACAGTGGGAAACTCTTCAGTGGTGATGAGCTATTGGAAGTAAGGAGCTATACTTTTCTTTCTCTTCTTCAAATAAGATTCCAAAAAGCCTTGAAGGAGGATTAATGTGATCTGTAAGTTCTTATTTTAAATTTCCTCTCAGAGGTTTCTTGAGAGAGATCTGCACATAAAAATTCACGCAAAGCAGAAATTTTATATCTGTGTCTATATTGAATTTCAGATCTAGTTCTGTGTGGTTGTTGTTTTGTTTCAGGTACAGAGAACTATAAAAACTTTCTTTGAAACTTTTAAAATATATATCTGTTTTTTAGAACAGGTAATACATTCACATGTTTCAATAGAGAATAAAAAGATAAACATTAAAAAAATCTCCGTCCTGACCCCATCCAGCCCATTCTCATCATCCTTCATTAGGTACCTGCTGATATTGTTTATGTGCAGGCAGCCATATATTTTAAGATAAATATAAGAAAATTGGAAGAGGTTCTTTCCCCCCATTTTAAAAATATACAATATATGCAATATTCTATTTTTTTCCTTACTTAAAATGTCAAGTTTTTTTTAACTTCTTTTTTTTCTTTCATCCTTGGGAATATTTTCATTGACTATCCTTTTCTAGATTTCCACACTGGCAGATCAAATATGGGTAAAAGTTAATGGTTTTCCTGTGAATTCTTTAGAAGATCCAATTACAGCAAAACTCTAAATTGTTTTAGGTAGTACTTCCATAGGTCTAACTACAGTTCTAGATCCAGCAGAATCACATTATCATCACCATACAAAAATGTATATTTGTTTAATAAAAAACATTTTCAGAATAATATTTGCATTCTGAAATGTTTTCCTTACTTAAAGAATGTATCTTTTCTACAGGTGAATGGTATAACTTTGCTTGGGGAGAATCACCAAGATGTGGTCAATGTTTTAAAAGAATTGCCTATAGAAGTGACAATGGTGTGCTGTCGTCGTACTGTGCCACCCACCTCCCAGTCATAATTGGATAGCCTGGACCTAAGTGATATTGAACTAACAGAAAAGGTAGAAAATTTGCAAAGTGAGGCTAATATGAAAATACAAATGGAAAGACTAAATGGTGTTCATGATTTTTTAACCCCTGCCTTTTTTTTTTGGCATTTGGTTTCCTTACATAGTCTGTGTCTTATAGGATTGACCTTGAAGTCAAGCTTGGGTTTAAACCAGACTTTTTGATATTTACTAGCTGTGTGACCTTGAGCAAGTCACTTCATCTTTTGGAACCTCTGTTTTCTTTCTCTGAAGATGTAAGGAAAGCAATAATATTAGGTTTTATTGCACACTATATATATATTTGTATAATTTACTTTCAATATTTTTGTGAAATAGAGGTTCATATTGTCCCCATTTGCAGAAGAGAAAACTCAAATATGTAAATGTGTGTGTATATAGTACACATATGGAAAAAGATACTTGTATATAACCTACCCAAGTCTGCCTGGCATACAATTACTGCTTAGTGAATAGCTAAAGTGTGGATGGATAGATAATTTTAGCATATATAGGTCTTACTTACTTGCACACTCTATTTTTAAAGTATGAGGAATTTGAGCTCCTAACACATGCCAGTTAATTCTCTGTGGTGTTCAGAAACTCCCATTTTCTTATCTACTTATTCTTTTCCATTTAGATCAAAATGTGAAGCAATGAAACTAATGAGCTTTTTGGAAGATGCACAATACATTTCTAAACTGATTTTGCATAATTTATAACCTAGACAAATTTCATGTAAGGTAATATTAGGATTTGATTTACATTATACTGAAATAGTCAGTATAATGGAATAATTTTGAAAACTTTGAAGAATAAGTGCCTAGTTTCCATATTCACATAAATGATTAATGTTAGAATAAGAAATATAATTCTAAATTATTAGTCTCTGTGTCCTCTATTCTGTACCATTGGTCCACCCGCCTGTTTTGGTACCAGTACCATGCTGTTTTTGTTACTATTGCTCTGTAATATAGTTTGAAATCTGGTATCGCTATACCGCCTGATTCACACTTCCTGCTTAGAATTGCTTTTGCTATTCTGGGTCTTTTATTTTTCCATATGAATTTCATGATTGCTTTCTCTATTTCTAGAAGAAATGCCGTTGGGATTTTGATTGGCATTACATTAAACCTATAGAGAACTTTTGGTAATATCGCCATTTTGATGATGTTAGTTCTGCCTATCCATGAACAGGGTATATTTTTCCATCTTCTAAGATCTTCTTCTATTTCTCTTTTTAAGGTTCTGTAGTTTTCATTGTATAGATCTTTCACCTCTTTTGTTAGGTTGATTCCCAAGTATTTTTTTTGTTGTTGTTGAGTATATTGTGAATGGAGTGTTTTTCCTCATTTCCGATTCAGAAGTTTTGTTGCTGATATACAGGAATGCCTTTGATTTATGCGTGTTGATTTTATATCCTGCCACTTTGCTGAATTCATTTATTAGTTCTTGTAGTTTTTTTGTAGACCCTTTTGGGTCTTGTAGGTATATAATCATGTCACCTGCAAATAGTGATAATTTAAGTTCTTCTTTTCCTATTTTTATGCCTTTAATTTCTTTCGTCTGTCTAATTGCTCTGGCCAGTGTTTCGAGAACTATATTGAATAGAAGTGGTGATAGAGGGCATTCCTGTCTTGTTCCAGATTTTAGAGGGAATGCCTTCAATTTTTCTCCATTCAGAATGATGCTAGCCTGAGCCTTAGCATATATAGCTTTTACAATGTAGAGGTAAGTTCCTTTTATCCCTAGTTTTTCTAATGTTTTGAACATAAAGGGATGCTGTACTTTGTCGAATGCTTTTTCTGTGTCTATCGAGATGATCATATGGTTCTTATCTTTAAGTCTATTGATGTGGTGTATAACATTTATTGATTTCCGTATATTGAACCATCCTTGCCTCCCAGGTATGAATCCTACTTGATCATGGTGCACAATTTTTTTGATCTGCCTTTGTATCTGATTTGCCAGAATTTTATTGAGGATTTTTGCATCTAGGTTCATCAGAGATATTGGTCTGTAGTTTTCTTTCTTTGAGGTGTCTTTGGTTTCGGAATCAGGGTGATGTTGGCCTCATAGAATGAATTTGGCAGAGCTCCATCTTTTTCTATTTCCTGAAATAACTTCAAAAGTATTGGTAATAATTCTTCTTTAAAGGTTTTGTAAAACTCCGCTGTATACCCGTCTGGTCCTGGGCTTTTCTTGGTTGGTAGTCTTTTGATTGCTTCTTCTATTTCATCCATTGTTATAGGTCTGTTTAAGTTGTGAGTATCCTCCTGACTCAGTCTGGGCAAATCATATGACATAAGAAATTTATCGATGTCTTCACTATCTTCTATTTTATTGGAATATAATTTTTCAAAATAATTTCTAATTGTCTTCTGTATTTCTGTAGCATCTGTTGTGACATTGCCTTTTTCATCCCATATGTTAGTAATTTGAGTTCTCTCTCTTCTTCTCTTTGTTAGCATGGCTAAGGGTCTGTCGATCTTATTTATTTTTTCGAAGAACCAACTTTTAGTTTTGTTAATTTTTTCAATAGTTTCTTTTGTTTCAATTTCATTGATTTCCGCTCTGATTTTAATTATTTCTTGCCTTCTGCTACATTTACTGTTGTTTTGCTCTTCCTTTTCTAGGGCTTTGAGATGAAGTGTGAGCTCATTTATTTGTTGGTTTTTCCTTTTTTTGAGGAATGACCTCCAGGCGATGAATTTCCCTCTTAAAACTGCTTTCATTGCATCCCATAGATTCCGATATGTTGTGTCTATATTTTCATTTATCTCCAAGAATTTTTTGATTTCCTCCTTTATGTCTTCTGTAACCCATTGATCATTCAGTAACATATTGTTTATTTTCCATGTGATGTAGGATTTTTCCTTCCTTCTTTTATCATTGATTTCCAGTTTCATTCCATTATGATCAGAGAAAATGCATGGTATTATCTCCACCCCTGTATATTTACTGAGGGTTGCCCTATGGCATAATATATGGTCTATTTTTGAGAAGGATCCATGTACTGCTGAGAAAAAAGTATATCCACTTGATGATGGTTGATGTATTCTATATATGTCAGTTAAGTCAAGGTTATTGTTAGTGATATTGAGTTCTATAGTTTCTTTATTCCACTTTTGTTTGGAGGATCTGTCCAATGGTGAGAGAGGTGTGTTGAAGTCACCCATGATTATTGTGTTGTGGTCTATTTGATTCTTGAACTTGAGGAGAATTTGTTTTATGAATGTCGCAGCACCATTATTTGGTGCATAAATATTGATAATTGTTATGTCTTGTTGGTGAATGGTTCCTTTTAACAGTATATAATGTCCTTCCTTATCCCTTTTGATTAACTGAGTCTTGAAGTCGATTTTATTCGATATGAGGATGGCCACCCCTGCTTGCTTACGAGGACCGTGTGCGTGGTATATTTTTTCCCACCCTTTCACCTTCAGCCTGTGTATGTCTTTTCCAATCAGATGTGTCTCCTGGAGGCAGCATATTGTTGGATTTGTTTTTTTTAATCCATGTTACCAGCCTATGTCGCTTTATTGGAGAGTTTAAGCCATTAACGTTTAGAGTTACTATTGATATATGGTTTGTACTTCCAGCCATGTTTGATTATTTATCTTCTTTTTTTTTTTTTTTTTAAATTAGTTTGTTTCTCCATGATTAGCTTTCTCCCCGCCCTCTGTCTTTACAGAGGCACTTCCCACTGATGGTTTTGGTTATTGTTTTTCATTTCTTCCTCGTGTAGTGTTTTGCTCAAGATGCTTTCCAATGCTGGTTTTCTGGCTGCAAATTCTTTTAGCTTTTGTTTATCATGAAACATTTTTATTTTATTGTCGTACCTGAAGCTTGATTTTGCTGGATACAGAATTCATGGTTGGCAACCATTTTCTTTCAGTGTTTGAAATACGTTGTTCCAGGATCTTCTCGCTTTCAGCATCTGTGATGAAAAATCCGTTGTTAACCTTATTGGTTTACCCCTGAATGTAATCTGCCTCCTTTCTCTTGTAGCTTTTAATATTTTCTCTTTGTTCTGTATATTGGATATCTTCATAACAATGTGTCTTGGCGTTGGTCTACTGTGATTTTGTGTGCTCGGTGTCCTGTATGCATCTAAAATTTGTATATCCGTTTCCTTTTTTATTTCTGGAAAGTTTTGTGTAATTATTTCATTCAGCAGGCTACTCTTTCCCTTGGTTTGAATCTCTGTACCTTCCTCTATCCCGATGACTCGTAAGTTTGTTTTTTTTATGTTATCCCATATCTCTTGGATGTTTTTCTTGTGATTTTTTACCAGCCTTTCTGAGTTGGCTAGACTCTTTTCAAGATGATATATTTTGTCTTCATTATCTGACGTTCTGGCTTCTACTTGCTCCATTCTGTTAGTGATACTCTCAATTGAGTTTTTGATTTGGTTTATCGTTTCTTTATTTCTAGAATTATTGTTTGATTTTTTTAATAATCTCTATCTCTTGATAAAGATGCTTAACTTCTTCTTTTATCTGTTTATGTAATTCAATTTCAATGTGTTCTTTCACTGTTTGGATTTGCTGTCTCGTATCCTCTTTAAGGTTCCATTCCATCTGTCTAAGGTATTCCTTGAGATCTTTATATGACCATTTTTCTAATGACTCTAGATCCTCCTGAATATTTAGGCTGTCCTTCATTGTTTGTACTCCTTTTCTTCCTTGCTTTTTTATGCTGCTCATGTTACTTCTTGTTCTATTTGACTGCTGAGTTACTGTTTTTTCTTATAAATTTATTTGATGCTTGGGAGGAAGTATAATAGAAGGGAAGGGAAGAAGTCACTAAAGAGAATGAGAGTAGGTAGGTAGAATTCAAGGAAGGGGGAATAAGAAAATTGAAAAGAAATGAAAAGACAAAAGAAAAAAATAGAAAATAAAGAAAGAAAGAAAAAAATTTTTTAAAAAAAATAATAAAGATAATAAAAAATGAAAATTAAAATTTAAAGAAATAATACTAATAATAATAAAATAGAAAAATTAAAAAAAATTAAAAACATTAAAAAAAGTTAAAGAACAACAACACCAACAAAAAAAAATGAAAATGAAAGAAAAAGAAAAGAAATAATAATAAATGCAGTCATAGAGTTCGATTAACTTCTCTTCCAGTAGGTGGAGCTGTGCCCACTGGGCCAAGCTTCTCCTCTCAATAGGTGGGAACCATTCCCTGTGCAGGAGTTCTTCGTCCCAGACTTTGCGGGTCTCCAATCCTGAGTGCCTATGGCCTTCTCTTGTGTTTCCTCAAGCCAGGCCCAGCTCACCTGTGACGCTTACCACAATACTGGTTACACGCCAGGTCTGCTGCTCCTGGGAGCCCTGTTTTCATGAACGCCTGGCACACTCTCCCTGTTTGCCTCCCTCAGACCCTAAGTTTGTAGAGCTTGGGGCTGAGAACCCCCAGCGAATTTGCTTGCCCTCCAGTAGCCATGCCCCCGGTAGCTGGTGCAAGAGGCCTCAATTGTCAGCACTGGTGGGAGCGGTAGCCGGGAGTTCCGCGACGCGAGTCCCGCGCCACTCCTGATTCCCTCAGTCTGGCTATGGAGCTCACAGGAGAGCTGGGAGGGGCTCTTAAGGTTTCCCCGCTGTGTGGAGAGAGATGGCTCGGGGATTACACACCTGTCGCACTGGTTTCAATGAAGTTATCTCCTCCGCCCATGACATCAGCTCTCTGCCAAGGTGGTATCTCGTTCGCCGTGGTGTTCGTGGGGCTGTTCAGTGCGGGGCAGGTGGGGCTGTTCACAGAGCTGGGGGTCTGGAGCTGTTCACCGGAGTCAGGGGAGGGAGTGTCCTTTGCAGCGCCGAACCGCCTGGGGCAGTTTACAGAGCCGGGCCGGCAGGGGCCCAGGCAGGCAGCGGCTGTTTGAAGGTTCGCTGCCGGGTTGGCAGCGGCCTTTAGGCGGCCGCCAGCGGGACTGGGCCCCTGCACCTCATGGCCGAGACAAACTGATACTTCCAATAGACTTACTAATTCCTGGCAGGTCTCCTTTCAGCGGAATTTTGCTAGAGGTTTCTCAGCAGGTAGCATGTAGGTGTATTAATGAGTCTCTCTGATCCCGTTACTGTGGAGGTATTGAAAGTGTTGCTTCCTCGCCAGCCGCCATGTTGGGTCCCCCGGAACCAATTTTGGTAATCTTTAATACGAAAAAATGAGAAAAAGAATAGAAATGGATTCTGATCTAACAGATGATGTTCATACCAAAATATTTTAATTTATATTTTCAAATAAAATGTTTAATAGAGATATTTGCTATATTTCATACTTATTCAATGTTGAAGTCATATGTTTATTTTAAAAACTCCCGTATTTTCCTTTTCTCCTCACTTACCTTCCTATTTGTCTGCCTTCCTCCATTTTGTCCCCCTTCATTTTTCTCTGTCTTTCTCATGAACTGGTTTTCAAATATCATTCTCCTGCAGCTTTTGCCTGAAGAAGGTTATGTTTCTGCTAAGGAGGATTCCTTTCTGTACCCGCCACATTCCTGCGAGGAGCAAGGGCTGGCTGACAAAGCCCTCTTCAGGGCTGACTTGGCTCTGGTTAGTGGCTACAACTTATTAAGTTCTCTTTTCAAATGCTTATATGTCTTATTTTATCTTATAAAATATTCTGAAAAGTCTCACTATTTTCCTTGTTCAATATTTTATGTGCACTGTGCACATCTTTGACCTAGTGCCATTTGTGGTCTTAATTTTGAAGAAGATAATTGTTTTTGTTAATATTTTGAAATTGCAAGCTCTTGAAACACCTATTTGGAAAGTTTGCAGTATTATAGTCAATATAATAATCTCACATTTTGATACCTAACACACTAGGGAACTTTGGCCTTGCTCTCTGTGCACAGTATCATTTAGTATGCAGTGAACTGTGTAAGTACTCTGGTATTAAATAGTACTCAGCCACAGCAAAAACAAACAAAACAAATAAATAAATAAAAATAAAAAAATTATATGCAATAGGACACAAATATATCATTATCCCTGAAGTATCTTAAGAATAACATTGTGTCTAGAGTTTACATATCTTCCTTAAACTTCAAAGAATCCCAATCACAAAGTATATTAGTTCCAGTTTTATGGAGGCTTAACTAGTCTTTATGATAGAAGTAGGTGTCCTGGATCTTCTCTCTAACCAGTTATATAATCTTGGACTGGTTGTTCATCTTCTTTGGGCTCCAGTGTTTTATCTGTACAGTAATTAAGCAAATTGTAATGATCTCTCTGGGACTTTAAGGCATCAGTGATAGGTATACAACTTAGACTGAGATATTCTTTCCTTAATGTCACTTAAAACAAATGTTTATGTACTGTAATGTATGGCACGAGGCTTAGCTAATACTATCTAGATAGTAAATACTAATTATTTACTATTTAGATTATTGTACATAATGTACATTTGTAATGGTTAAAGCTCCACATGGTGATTTGTTAATGCATTTGAACGTGTATTTAAAATAATTTTTCAGGCCTATGAAATTATATTTCAAGAGGGTCACTTTGAAATGGCCCCAATGTATTTTTAAGAGCTTTTTATAAGAGCACAGCCTACTATATTGTGATAAAGCTTCTAAATTATATTAAACATGTAAGTTGGAATAAAAAATAAATAGAAAAATGGGATTTTGCCATTAAGATAACCAGAAAATGCTGGAAATACAAGAAAAGGGTCAGTTCTTAGGTCTACTATAGAAGATTGTAGTAGGATTTTTAGATAATGTATGATGAAATTTTCTATCTCATTCTATGTGAGCTTTCTAATAGAAGTTCATAACTTAAAGCTTCACTAATCATATCATTATTAGACCCCTTATTTGTTGGTATAATTTTAGCATGACATCTCAGATGTTCTCTGGTTTCTATGACTTGAATGGATTTAAAGTTTAACTAAAGATAATTTAAAATATATGTTTATAGTGAGGTTTACAAATAATAATTGTATGGCCACCTTTTTGAACAGCAGTTTATTTTAGTTGAATAGAAGACATGTCCTCATTCATTTTAGTATAAAATGATAAGAGTTTGTCAGGTGAACTGCAAAAAAGTAAACACTTTCCATGACTAATGGAGCTATTTAAACTTAGAATTGATCCAGATCCTTTATTAATTGTTACCTTTGGCTGTATTATTGAGGAAATGAAGCAGCTGTGGGTTCCAGCACCCTTTGCTACAGGTGAGCAATTTGCTCTTGTGCTGCACTAGGTAAAGTACTATATAGTCAGTTTCTGACATGCTGAAGAGAATGTAGAGCAGGATAGACTGAAGAAAGATGCCACTATGCCTTTGTGTTTCAAGTGGAGACCTCAGTGCTAGAACAAAATTCCCAACTGATGATATTGTTTGATTTCTAGGTGGACACACATGGTGCTGAATTGGTAGATGAATCCACATTTCAGTCTCAGTACTCTCCTGATAATGACAGTGTCTACTCTACCCAAGCCTCTGTTTTATCTCTTCATGGCAGTGCTTGCAGTGATGGTCTGAACTATGGTTCCTCTCTGCCATCATCTCCTCCCAAGGTACTGAGAAAATGTCATTTATTTTTGAGAAAGCTTTGTGAATACCTTTCCAGAGGTCAGGGTTGATGGGGACTTGTGGGAGTAGCATATTAGAAACATTTTGTTTCTTTAGTCATGGATTACCTATCAGATTAAACTACACTTTAATTTAGCTAGTGTTAATTATATAGCTTTCAGACTATAAAGGGCTATTTAATTCTAGTGTTTCTAAGACAGTGGTAGACATAAATGTTCAAAACTTTTAGGATTTTCATATCAGAAAGAATATTTAATGAAATACATTTATTAGATTGTGTTTTTAGTGGTGTCTATGGTTACTTTTTAGTGGGGGAATCTACTAATTTTATTGAGAGGCTTGGAGATAGGGAGAAAGGACTAGAGAATTGCTGAAAAGGATAGATCTCACTGTTGCCAAAATTACTAGCAGTGTCTATTTTGGAAAAATTACAAGATTGACTTTATATTTTTTAATGATTTTAAAACTTTTATGCAAAGTTGGATAGTAAAATATTTCTTACGTTAATTTAGCATTTGCTAGCTTAAACTAAATGCTACATTTTTATATAAAATAATGCAAAACTATATAAAAATCACAGTGAATGATAAATTATGTATATATCAGTATATGTAATTGAAGGGTCTAGTTACTGTTGGACTATCTGTGCCATCTATATTTTAGAAATAAATAATTGGCATAAATGCCCCAGTTCTATTGATTTTCTTGGTTATATACGCTATAATTTTCAGTTACGTAGCATTTAAAAACCCATTCAATATTGAATGAAAAATGGTGTGTTACAACATTTTCATTTTGTTTTCTTCATTATTAGTGAGATTGAATACTTTTCCATATATTGGCCATTTGATTGTCACTTTTTATCAATGAGCTCTTCAATTATTTTGAATGTTATTATTTTGATTACTTATCTGTTTATTTGTTGAAGTTTTTATTTTATGGAAATTGATGCATAAACAATATATATTTTTATGAGTAGGTGTATACATGTGTGTTGGAAACTTAAAAATATGTGAACATGATACTTCCTAACTTTAGGAAAGGAGTTACCTTTGGAGAAAAAGATGAAGCATAGAAATATAGTTGTACTTACAATATATCATTTTAAGAAAAAAGTAATTAAAAAACATATGGAAAAATGTATCTATTTAATCTGGGCAAAGAGTTCATTTATGGATATATATTGTTTATTTTTCTAGGCTGGAATTATACCATACTTATAAATTGGATTCAGTGGAAAGAGATCTCATATATGAATAAGTTGGAAAGTAGGATTTTCAGTTTCCTCCTTTCCTGATTAACAAGTAATTTTTTTGGCCAGAACATTTTGAAAGCATTTTCTTTTATGTTCAAGGTGCACCTGTTATCCTTTCAAATGATGCTGGGCAATCTCCTTGAATTGGTTTGTAAGGTATAATCTTGAGTGGAGCAGCTGCTCCTCTCCTAGCACACCTGAGACTGTCTGGCTGCCTCCTGTCTGGAATGTGTTCAGCCTTTACTGGCCTCAGGGCTGGAAGCTAGTTCATCTCCTAATGGAATCTCCTAATCCATAGCATAGCACACTTCTTCTTGCCAGTGGGACAGATTGCATTGTTTAACTTAGTAATTGTTACTTAAAGGGATTACACAATCTGCATACTGAGAAGCATACATTTTACAGGGCGAATGCTGGCTGTATGCAGCACAACATATTGGCTTACTGACGTCTGTTTGCCTCCTCTTTTTCTTTTCTTTTTTTCTCCCTAAGCAGTTTTCTCTTTTGTTGAAGCAAATTTTGGCAAGCTGGCCTAACAAGTGAAATATTTAAACTACCAAACAACAAAGAAGACATTAATGAGGGTGTTCTAAAACACATTGTGAAACTCCTGTGTGCTTTCAGTGTTTTTAGAAAGTAGAACTGTTCTTGTATCATGGTAAATCTCTGAAACTCTGGGTTTTCTTTTTTTTCCTCTATGCCTTTTTTAGTACTTTGATTTACTAGAAAACATTTATGTGATTAAGAATTTATATAATGCATTTTTTTCTGTTTTTTTTTTTTTTGCACTAAATTTATTTTAAAAAACAAAATGGTGATTTGTCATGCAATTTAGAATTCACTATTTTTCTTTTAAAAAAAGTGAGCTTACTTTTTAATAAAATAAAATCATGTAGTATATATGATTGTTTAAATATATATGATCTTATACTGTAATAACCATAAAGTATATATGGATATTTAAGAAAAACAAAGATACCTCCATACTGATTTGAAGGAAGGATAGAGTGTAAGGATCTCAGTCATTCCTCAGATTTTTGTGGTAATCTTGTGATCTTAAATGGTGATTGGAAATAGACACGTCATTTTACCTGTCCTCTCCTTGATGAGAGATCTTTCGACCCTGGTCAGGTATCCTACCAGAAGTTAAAAGAGCTGACCACCAGAGCATGGACTTACCATTTAGAGCAGAGTTGAGGACTGAGCAGCAGCTTAAGCACCTAAGGACCACAGCCATAACTTGTTCCTGTTCACAGAAGCCTTCCATTAGGGGTCTATTCTGTTTTGTCTTTTGAAAGGAATATGTGTTTGCTTCATTGATGAATTATCATGTAAGGATTTACATATACCCATTTCATGGCATTCAAATTCATTAGAGGTAGATGATTGAAATGTGTTATTTTAAAGGCAACATGGTTGAAGCCATTGGTCTTTTTTCCCTTTCTCATTGTTATGGGTTTTGATTTTTTATTGATCTTTCAATTTCCCTTTTCTTGTTACCTCCAAAGACATGATACAATGCAAAAATAATTGTTTTCCAAACTTAAATATTCATAGACTTCTTTAAATGTTTCACATGGTTTCTCAGAAGATGCTTTATTTTTTTCCTATTTTGACTTGAAAATACAGCCAACAAAGATTTAATAGCTATATATTGAGTCTCTGTTTGTACTCCTTGTCACATCCCATTCTCTGCCCTGTAATGTACATTCATACTTTCAATCTCTCAGTACGGACAGGAAAAAACTGATATGGTACACGTTCTTCATTCCAGAATATTGGTTTTACCAGTTAGTCCTGTGATTTCTAGTGCAGGTTGAAGTTGGTGTCTGTCAAGATAGAAATCTTTTTTCGAACCTCACACACCAAACACAAATAGTAGATTCCATTTTTAAAAAATTCTATATATTACCATAGATCTCCACATAGTGTCATTCTCCAATGCTGAAATTTGTTGCCTTCACATCTTGTTTAGAATGTTAATGCTGTTTCTTAATTATTTTGTTTTTGGAGAAGAGGTTTGAATAAAAAATAAATAAATCACTCTAGTCAAAATAGTAGGAGTAATTATGAAAGTCTTAGTGACAAAATTACACTCTCAAAGGTATAAAAGATGTTGTCTTTTCCTATAATAGGAAAAGAACAAGAATGTATCAAGTAGAGGCATATATTAATACAGGTTTTTAGAAAAGTTCAGTTTAGATACCAAGTTGCACTGGAAAATCATAGAGTTATTTTTGGACATTTTATGGGGGAAGAAATATTTTTCTTTTAGATCCATAAGACTTTTAAAAATAAAACTCTGGTCGTTCAGCAACCAGAAATGTTTCTGAAGTAGGCGTATGTTGTCTACTGTGTTGATTAGCTATTTCTTTTCTGTATGTCTGTGTTAATTCCTTCATGAATAATGCATGGAAATTTCTGCTGCATGATTTTCAGTAAACCTCAGCTCACAAGGGTGGCTTTACCTCTTTTTCTGATGAAAAGCAATTTTGAATTGTTCTCTTTCTTTGAGGCATGGGTGAGATGGTTTACTGAAAATTATTATAATTAATTTAGTAATACTGAAACTAACCACTCCTTTAGTAAGCACATTGTTATTTTTCATGAGAATAAATAAAATAAAGTTGGGTGGATGAGCCAACAGGTTATTGTTCAGATTCTGATTGGAGAATGTTACTTTACTATTATTTGTTCCTGAAGATTCTAAATATATTAATTGCTTGCATGATAGAACTACTCTGTTGATTCTTTTGTGTCAGAAATATTTGATAATTATAGAGAAATGATAACTTGTATTGAAGAAGAGAAGTATAATAATTTGTATTGGAGCTGTTAAACTAATCAAAGAGAGAGCCATCTCTTATACTATATCTGAAATAAGTTGTAGATGGTTAAAATCTAAAAATAAATTATATAAATACAAGGAAAATACCAGAAAACATTTCATTTACATTGTGTCAAGGAGATATTTATTATATTTATGAAGCTATATATAAAACCTAGAAGCACAAAAATATCGACAAATTTGATTACACAAAGAATTTATCTTTGTAATGACATAAATATTACCTATAAAAACTTAGGAGACAAGTAACTGGGACAATATTTGTAGTATATATCACAAAGATTTTATATTCAGAAAAGATCAAGAATAAGTGATTAAAAAGCTGAAGGAAAGACATGAAGAAAATGTTCACAGAAGATGTATAAATGATATGATCTTGCTAATTAAGAAGCATGCATAGTAAAACACTGCTGAATATATTTCTGACTGATCGGATTACCAAACTGATCTAGAGTTGGTAAGATTAATAGGTATTCACGTATTCTTTTTTGTGGAAGAAAATGGAAGATAGTTTAGCAATAAATAGCAGTATTTTAAGTGTGCATATGATTTGACCCACTACTCCAGTTCTGTGGTTTATAGGAAACACATTATCACACATGTGTATAAAGTTACGTAATATAAATAAATAACTGTAAAAGCTAATAGTTATTGGGTAATTTCTGTTGGGCCTGTACTTTGTGGTAATTAATGGTTGGTTCTAACAGAACAGATAGTATGGGTTCTGTTGTTTTCCTTTATTAATAGGCCAGGGAACCAGGGCTGTTTTAGTCAGTTTTTTTACTTCTGTGACCAAAAGACCTGATAAGAATACTTAGAGAATATGTTTATTTGGGGGCTTGTAGTTTTGGAGGTCTTAATCCATAGATGGCTGACTTCATTCTTTGGGACCTAAGTTGAGGCAGAACATTATGGTGGGAAGAGTGTGGGAGAGGAAAGCAGCTCAGGACATCACAGCAGGAAGGGGAGGGGAAGAGAGAGGAAGGGAGGGAGACAGAAAGGGAGGGAGAGAGGGGGGAGGGAAAGAGAGAGAGGAAGGGAGAGAGAAAGAGAGGGGGGAGGGAGAGGGAGGGAGAGGGAGGGAGAATAGAGAGAGAGAGGATGGAGGGAGGGGGAGCGAGAGATAGGGAGGGAGGGAGGGAGAGAGATCTTCACCAAGACAAAATATAAACTCCAAAGGCATGTTCCTAAGGGCCTACATACTCCAGCCACATCTTACTTACCTGCTGTTACTACCCAGTTAATCCCTGTCAGGGATTGAGGCACTGACTAGGGTAATGTTCTCATAATCCAATCATTTCACCTCTAGAGTTTCTTACATTGTTTCACACATACACTTTTGTCAGACACCTAATATTTCAACCTCAATAAGGGTACAGAGTGTTTAACTTTCCAAACTCAGTTAACCAGATGTGGAGCTAGAATTTGAATTCAGGTAGCCTGACTCCAAAGTGTACACTCCAGTGCCTTTCATATTTAGGAATAATTGATAACCATAAAACACTGGAGTTGACTTTTTCTTTTTTTGAATGACATGGCCATTTCTTACATTGAGATGTGAATATACTGGGGATAAAAAAGGAACAAGTTAAAAATGCCACTTAATGTATGGTTCTGTTTAAGTTTTAAAAATGTATGTATATATCAACTTGAATGTGTGTGTATCTGTGTATGCGTATGTATGTATTATGCAGATGGATAAAAATACGATCAAACAACTAAGTGATGCCAGCCATTTTTACTGGAGAAGGTAATAGAGTACCGGGTATGAAGGAAGACTTTTGTGTTCATACACAGTGTACATCTGTAAGGCTTGAATCTTTTTTTTTTTTTTTTTACCTGCAAATGCCATAATTTTAGTCTCTTTTAATGCTGAGTAATATTCCATTATGTATATGTACCATAGTTTCTTTATCCATTCATCTATTGATGGGCATCTAGGTTGCTTCTATAGTTTAGCAATTGTGAATCTCCTAACAGTTTTCTTTTTTATTATTATTATTTTATTTGTTTTAATTAGTTATACATGACTGTAGAATCCTGCCGCAGTCCGGCTGCAGCAAAATAACCGGGGGGTGACGAACAACTTGTGAACGTTGATACAGCAGGAGTGGGAGCCATTTATTGCAGGACAGGAGCAGTATTTATACATTCCACACAGCTTATCTAATTAGCATAAACTAGATACATCAGTCAACCAGTAAGGAATCTCCACACTTAATGGCTCGCTTTTGTTACCTCTCAAACCACTCCCTCTGGCATTTTGCCAGGCACCATCCAGACTTGTTTATGAACTCTAACATTCCCCTGGCAAAATGCCAGGTGTTATTTTGACTTGTTTACAGACTCTAACAGAATCCATTTATGTACTTTGATATATCATACATAGATGGGATATAATTTCATATTGGTCATGTAGTCACATATATACATACAAGAATAATGTCTGTTTCATTCTATTATCTTTTCTATCCCCCATCCCCTCTTCTCCCCTCCCATCGCTTCCCTCTACCTAATCTAAGGTAACACCATTTTTCCCTAGTGCCCCTTACCTTATTGTGAATTAGCACCTGCATATTAGACAAAATATTCGGTGTTTGGTTTTGTGGGATTGGCTTATTTCTCTTAACATGATATTTTTCAATTCCAACCATTTACTGGCAAATGCCATAATTTCACTCTTCTTTAAAGCTGAGTAATATTCCATTGAGTATATTTACCACATTTTCTTTATCCGTTCATTTATTGAGGGACACCTTGGTTCCATAGTCTAGCTATTATGAATTGAGCTGCTATAAACATTGATGAAGCTGCGTCACTATAGTACGCTGATTTTAAGTCCAAGGAGTGGGATAACTGGGTCAAATAGTGACTCCATTCCCAGTTTTCTGAGGAATCTCCATACTGCTTTCCATAGTGGTTGTACCAGTTTGCAGTCCTACCAGCAGTGTATGAGCATACCTTTTCCCCAACATCCTCGCCAACATTTATTGTTGCCTGTATTCTTGATGATTGCCATTCTGACTGGAGCGAGATGAAATCTTAGAGTAGCTTTGATTCACATTTCTCTAATTACTACAGATGTTGAACACTTTTTCATATATATGTTGATCAATTTATTTCTTCTGTGAACTTATTTATTATAATTAGATATATATGATAGCAGAATTCATTTTGATTCATCATATACAATTGTAACACAACTTTTCATTTCTCTGGTTGTACATGATAGAACATCACACCATATGTGCAATTATAGATGTACCTAGGGTAATGATGTCCATCTCATTCCACCATCTTTCCTGCCCCCATAAAGCTTGAATCTTACATGGTTATGTGCTCATCATATGCTGCTTTTGTACTTTAAAAATATCAATCAAAGAATTGAAGGGAAAACTGATGTGTTTATTCAGCAGCAATTCAGGAAGTAATTGCTTGCCCAAAGCATATAAGTGATACAACATATCTGCTGTAAGTAGATTACATGTATTTATACAGATCTACAGAATTTGAATTTCAGAGAATTGTAGAAATTGCATAATATATAGCCGAGAGAGATTCTGTGCTAATAACAGAGCCTAGATTAAAACCTACATTTTATGACCACTCAGATTAATATTCCTCCTATTAAATCTTGAAGAATATTTATATAAATATTCCCTATAATAATCCGAGTTTCAAGCCTTTCTTTTCTTCTCCATAAATACCTATAAATTCAAGTCAAAATAATTTTCTCTTGGAGGTTCATGAATCCAAATCAATTAATGTTATAGTTTGCATGCATTCATTTGAATAAGTAGATCTTCACTGGAAATGGACTACACTTTAAATGAGATTAGATTCTAAGCTATTTGCTTCTCTATGTGAAGTCAGAATAATATTATTTTATGGATAGAACATAATGTTCTACCTAAATGATCCTATGTATGGTATGTTGTACAAGGGTAATTCAGAATAGGAAATGTGTGATTTACAGTAAATTTATTCAAAAGTATTTATGAAAATAAAGGCAGAAAATTATGCTAAGTGAAATATTTGTTAATACATATCTCTATCTATCTATCTATCTATTTTGTGTGTGTGTGTGTGATACTGGGGATTGAACCCACTGGCAGGCTATTACTAAGCTATATCCCCAGCCCTTTTATTTTGAGTTAGGGTCTTGCTAAATTGCCCATGCTGGCCTTGAACTTGCTATACTCCTGTCTCAGCCTATTCAGCCCCCCGATAGCTAGTTAATACGGGTATGTATCATTGCACCAGCATTGTTAACACTCTTTAAGTAATGAATACTTGTGATTTATTTTTCACTAAATAGTTGCTCATTAAGAAGCAGTGTTATAAAATAAATTGATTTATTTCTGGTTTTAATATTTTTTTCTTTCATTTTCAGGATATAACTGAAAATTCTTCTGATCCAGTAATTGATCTGCATATGTCTTTGGAAGAACTATATGCCCAGAATCTCCTCCAAAGACAGGATGAGAATTCATCTTCAGTAGACTTGAGCTTGGGGCCTCCTTCTGGCTTTAACACAAGTGATTATACACCTGCAAATTCTACTGACAACAATATGAATGTGAAAACACAATATCTTGGACTGAATCTCACTTACCAAGTGAAGTTGTAACAAGAACAGAACTTACTTCTCCTGTGCTGTCTGATTCAACTGGAAAGGTAATATTTTAAAGGTTGTGATATGTGCATCATAGTGAGGTAGGAGATAGTGGAGAGTTAAGAGTTCTGGCTAATCCTTCATTTGGAATGAGGCTCCTCTGACACATGCCCTGAGGCAACCTCTGATCTTGTTTTTCTTGCTGAAAAACATAGAACTAAAGATGTGTAGTGTTGAAATCATGCTCCAAAGTCTAGTTTTCCTTTCCATGTGACTTGCATTATTTTTTTTCAGGGCTCTGAGTACTTAATTGAACAGAGCTCCCTGGCCTCCAATGCGGAATATATCATGCTACAAAATTCATCCAAAGAATCTTTTGAAAGGACTATTACTATAGCAAAAGGCAATTCTAGTCTCGGTAAGTTCCGCATTTACCCATACATCCCTACTCTTCCAACCCCCTTGACAAAGGGAAATATTGAGCATGGTAGGTTTCAACATTTTTTGTTGTTGTTGTTGCTGTAAATAAGAAAATATATGTTAGGAAATGTCTTATAATTTTATGTGTTTTCTTTTTATGTACTCATTATTTTTTCTTAAATGGTTAACAGGTTTGTTTATTTCATACTAGCTTAAATCTCTCATTTACTTAATTAATTCAGAGTATTCAAAAGCTTCATTTACATTCAAGTAAAAAATATATGAATTGTTTGTGTATGAAACAGCAAATCAGAAAAGGAATTCTTAGAAAATGAAAAGTCAGCAATTTGGAATTCTAAATTCTTTGGAAAAGGAAATTATTAGTCTCTTTGAGTGTTACCAGTTACACATAAGTCATTTTGTATTTAATTTCTTTCATTCACTGAAATTAAGACTAAAGACAGGCAGGTGTACCACTACCAAAATATAAATGCAAATTATTCAATAATACCTTCCAGGTGGCAGGATTTTTAAGTCCTCTGTTACCCATAAATTGTTTCGGTGAGTTAATGATCACATACCCTCTGAATTGAGCAAAGAAGACTTCCTGTGGAAATAAATCCCAATTACAGTAGCTAAAATTGAGTCTGTACAGAACACATTTGTTCTCTTACTGAGTGAAGCAGTCATGTGACTTAGCCCTGTTCCTGTTGATTCATCTTGATAAACAGAATGATAGATTAGTTGCCCTGAATGTCCAAATGTCCAAGACTCCAGTTATTTCATTAAAAACCCTGTTTCTTTTATAAAGTACCAACACTCCTTACATTAGTATCTTATGGCAGGGTCTTGTTTCCTGGTTAAATT